CCCCCCCCCATTGCTAAACTGTGTAGCTCAGAGTTCTGAGGTAAAACCTCAGGAGTTGACTTAACAGATGACTGCTTCTTAACTGTTGCCTGCTCCAGAGTGAGCTCACCAAGCAGCCTGGTCATCCTAGCACTTAAGGGCAGAACCACCAATGTGGTCTACGGAGAGGTCCTTCAGTAGAGAAAAAAAAAAGTATGTATGTCTCGCTTCATTTTTTACACTACAATCTTTTCCATTAGAATTCCTACGACAAATGTTACATTTCAAACTTCACATCATCGGTATTATAACTGGATTTATGGAACTTAAATACCGTAGCAAAGCACGGGTATCAGGCTGGTTCTGTATAATGTAAGGAAATGCACTCAGTTTTATGCTCATCTAAAATGTTCAAAACATTTCCAGAGCATTTAAAAACAGGCGTTTGGATAAGCTCTGTGCTGAGAAAAGAGGTCTGGTCCTCAGTTAAAGTTCTGAAAAACTATTCTAGTGATACACAAAATTATTCATGCAAACTGATTTCATATTGTCAGGAATGTAAAGAACTTGCAATGCATTTATTATTTCAGAATGTTCATAGCATTTATTCTCTAAGTATAATACCTGTGGTTACTCCATAATGGCCACACTTTTCAATTTATTTGACTTGAGATCTATAACAAGATGATTCTTTTTTAGTTGAAGTATGGGAACTTCTCTGTTCTCCTTTAAGAACCACAATTGATTTGGGACTTGGACATCAACTTGAAAAAATGTAACAATTTATTTTCCTTCATAGCTTCCTGTTATTCCCTAACCCTTCTCCCACTCAGTTCAATGTCTTGATATATCCTGCAGTTAACACTTGAAACACTAGCATTTATGCAACTTTCTTCTCAGATGGTGAAATCTTATGTAAGGGGACTGTCTGACAGCTATTTGAATGCTGCACTGAGGGCCACAGCAGATGCTGGCTAACTGGGGGCTGGATTTGGATACAAGTTAAGATCACAGCTTGCACATGGATAAATAGAGTCTAGGCTTGGCCAAACCACTTCCACCCAGTTTCTGTTCCCAATGGTTGGGGGGGGGAGTGGAAATGGGAATAGCAGTGACCAGCTCAGCAGGACTTCAGTAGGGCAGAGTGCCAAGATTGCAAATCAAAATGCTGTAGTACATCTCCTAGGGCAAAAATTTGAAAGTGCTGCACTGGAACAGAAAGTGTATATATTCGTCTTTTCCGAGTTGTGTTCATTCCTTCCCTGATACCAGGATATTGCCCAGTTGTTGCAGTACCACCTGCTCCTTCTACCATAATCCTCCACTACGTATGTCCATTTAGAAGTAGCTTTTGGGAGAATTGACTGCGGCGCCCAAGTATCAATAATGCTTCTCTGTGTTGTCTGGGCTGTCATAGGGCTGGATCTAGTGAAGCATGGGTAGAAAGGATGAAATCCATAGCACAAGGTATAGACAGGAACTCTCAGTCTGGGGCAAGTGATGCTCTGTATTCTTGGTGCTTGGGGGGCAACAGTGGATGGGCTCCTAGTGTTCTAGCCCCACTGCTGGACCTCCTGGTGGCACCTGGTATTTTTGGCCACTGGTCTGATCCAACATTGGCTTCTCTTATGTTCTTATGTTCTTAAGGTCTAGTGCAACCCATATTGCTTAACTGCAGTACTGACCTGGTCAAAGAATACCTTCCACTGTGTCTTGTGCATGTGAAAAAGAAAGTTTGGATCCATTCTTTTTATATTGGTGCAAGCAGATCATGAGGCTTATTTTTAGTGCTTCTGCTTACACAAAGGTTGTTGCACTTATGGCAATGCTCCCTAGGATCCAGCCCAGTGAGATCATGTCAGATATTTCTGCGACTACCTTTTGTTAGCCCCCTCATATTGGAGTTCTGGGGAAATGGAGGGTGGGGGAATAATCCACTTCTGTCCATGGAGACCTGGTAGGATCCAACCTGTAACATGTGCTGTAACACCACCATCTAATTGCTGTCTCATTTAAGGCATCAAAAGCTCCCTTTTATAAGCTGTAGAAGTAAAGTTTTCCAGTATAAAGAATGAACATTAACCCATGAAATATAAGGCACATCATTCCCTTGCTGCAGAATTACTTCAGGTTGGACAGTTGCTACTTACGTGTGCTTCAACATCTGTTAATTTGCGAGTCTGCTCAGCTGTTTGATTTAGCAGATTGGTGCCAATTTCAATCATGACTGCTGTCTGATTCTGCACTGCATTCTGCTGGATCTCCACCATTTCTTTTTTCATGTTATCCTGGATATAACTTTCAAGCTGCATAATATAAGAGAGAGAATGTTAATGTTTTTGTTTTATTTGTATGTGAATATCTTCTGGGCAGAATGCAAAGTGTTGCTTAAACCTCCAGATGCATTCTCTCAACAGTGGGTTTTCATTTTTGTTCAACAAGACCAAGTAGGCTCTCCTATGGCAAGCTAGGGATGAGCAAGTGGGGTATCATGAGATGCCATGTGGCCTCCCAATACCCACTACAGACATGAGAAAGGTATACAAAGGAACTTTCTACAGAAGTAAAAGTTGCTAGAAGTCCGGGGGGGGGGGGGGGTAGAATAATCCCACTATTCTCCATCTCTTCTTCAAAGTGACTTCCTAGCAAACACTAGATACTAATCAGCAAAAGAAGCGGTACCCAGGGTTGAGAGTCTCATCCTGTAGCGCTGCTCTGCACGTGCTGTTAAGTTAAAGAGCTGTGAAATGGGCAATAGTTATTTCAAGGCTTGGCTTTGCTGGTGCTTCCCACCATTGTTGCCTCCAGTGGAGCTGCACTGGTGTTAGCAACAGTTGGGAGTATTGCTCAAGTGATGAGGGTAGACAAAGGCATAAGGGTTTAGTCACCTTCCTGAATCAAGAGTACAAATCTTTAAAAGTAGTTCATACCTACATTGTTAAGGATTAGACAAGAAGTCTGGTATGCTCCAACAATGCTGTTTGTTATGTGAACCTTCCCGACAAACAAAAGGATAAAAAGCAAGGCTGATAAACAATGTCTTCCTTCTAGGAAGGCTAAAAAACCCCAACCCTGTGTTGAAGTGAACTGAAGTCGTATTCTCATTACCACTTCAGCTTACGTAGCCAGTGGGGATACTCACATTTTTGAATTATTTGTTTTTGCTTTAGGTGTTAATGTTGATAATTTAGCAAATCATAGAACTTTCTTTATCTCTCCAGGGTCTCAGGTACAGGCCTTTTCATATCACCTCTTACCAGATCCTTTTAAGTGGAAATTTAAGTGGAACCTCAGACCTTCTGCATACAAAAAAAGATTCTCTACCACTGAGCTTTGGCCCCTCTTTCTACGTCAATTTAGAGTTGAGACTTTAAGATCCTTGGAGCAGGGAGATTACTCCAGCTCTGTAAAGTTCCATACACCTGTATTATCTGGGTGCAGTAGCCCTTGTATAAAAGAAATGAGTGAAATATCTGTTATTTCTGTGAATTTGTGCATTGCATGATTTTGAAATAATTTTAGGAATTTCCTCCTTGAAATCTCACACTTTCTATTAGAATTGTTGTAGTACTATCTGGTTTTTCTTGGGTGCTAGAAGATGTTGTTTAGTCTCTTTCTTTTTCTGCTACTCTTAGGCACAGCAGTTTATTGTTCAGTATTAAATTTTAATTTATTTCTATATAGACTCACAGGTGGTTTATAGTATTAGTAAAATCATCATAAATGCAATAACACTGTTACAGAGATGTAATGTAACACTGTTACATTAAAACTGTAAGCACAATGCAACAAGAGTAAAATGTAGCAATAAAAACAGCAGTGAATAAGAAAATACAGTAGTTCTAATTTCAACAGCAAATTCCCAGAGCACAGGATTGGGAACTCTCAGTTGTGAACAGATAACAAATACATTGTTAATTTCAAGGGAGAAAAACTTAAGTGTTGGCCCTTCCAAACCAGGAGAAATGTTGAGAGTAATTCTACTTAATTAGAAAAAGGTAAAAGTAGGTATTATATCTAGCATGACTTTTTTTGTTTCCTGTCTGCCTTCCTATTTAGTAGGAACACGCTTTCTGCACTGGGAGGCATGAAAATGCTTTTTTTTAAAATGTCATAATTCAGACTTGCAAAAGACCACCCACAGACTTCCCCCTCTTGCTGTAGTCCACTGAGCCCCATGAAATTTTATTGGGTGGTGGTGGCAGGAATAGCATCAAGTGCATAATGAGGGTCTGCACTGCAGGGGTGCAAATACAGGACATTTTCAAATACTTTCCTCCTTGTTTTGTCTGTTGCATAGAAGAAGTCAGCCACCAGACTAACAAATTACTTGTGCTTTTAGCAGATGTCTTTGTTATTCTTCATCTAGGTGGAGTTATAAAAGCAGTCTTAGGTTTACCTTCCTCAGTGCTTTCCATGATGTAACAAAGCACATGTGTTCTTGATGGCTAACTTGTCATTTTTGCCAACTAAATATCACCTTGGATGCCTGGCATAAGTAAACACTGCAATACATTATTATTTTTTTATTTATTTATTTAATTGCATTTATATCCCGCCCTCCCCGCATGCGGGCTCATGATCCAGATCACTGCCTACCAAAAAGCCTGGCTGTGACATTAATAAAATTTAACATTGAAAAAGTTCTGTGGGGAAGAGCCCAGGCATGTTTCCCACTCTCAGAGATTTTGACATTACATTCATACAGGATGTAGCAACATTGATCTAAAATGTGAGAAGGGATTCTACAATGAGTTCAATTCCTAAATATTCCTAATTGAGAGTAAATCCTACTAAAATCAAAAGAAAACAGTATATATCAGAATACAGTCTAGGTATAAATTCTCGCAGTGGTGCTGTTTACTTTTTACCCAAGGTAGAGAGATTTCAAAATTGGGTAAGATATTTAATACTGAAGTAAGTTTACTATAGTAAACTTAGTTTGAAGAGCATAGTATCAGTCAAGGAGAAGCTAAGGGAATTATGTAGTCACTATCGAAAGGGATCATTACTGCTATTCACCGTGGTCTTGCGTTGTGTATTGTTGCAACTGAAACATTAATATATGCACACAAGTGATGCATTTCTGTATACTATTTGCGACATATGGCTCCCATCTGTGGGTACCTACATCTGCAGATCGAGGCCATGCAGATGGTAAACAGATTTTTCAGCAAACTTGGGGGATTCCCCAGATTTGCAGAAAAGTCTGAAATGTTAAAAAAAAAATACATGGGGGGGGGTTTAATTACCACAAAAAGTAAAATAATTTCCTTTGTACCTCGGTGTGGTGGCACCTGGGAGCCGTGGTGGGCCTGGTGTATGGCCACAACAGTGGTGAAGCTTCCCAGGGGCCATGGCAGGCCCAGTGGGGACGGCAAAGCCACCCAAGGGCCGGGCAGTGTCTGCCGAAGAGCCCAGGGGCTGTGGCAGTGATGAGGCAGCTCAGGAGCTGTGCCAGGCCCAGCGGTAGTTGCCAGAGAGCCCAGGGGTGTCTGGCTCAGCAAGACAGTAAGGGGTGGAATTCCCTCCCGCGAGTCTTGTGAGCCCCCACCTGTCCAGGATAATCCACTGATTATTTGAACAGCCACATCTTTCTTAAGCCAGTATAATTATGTTGGATGCAGAAGGGAGTAACTGCAGTCCTATGCCGAGTTATTCTAGTCTAAGCTCAATTAAATTAACAGCACAATCCTATGTGAAGTTATTCAATTCTCAACCCAGTGGATTCTGACTGTAGTAACTATGTGTAGAATTACACTGAAACTAATCTCAAATGCAAGTGGTTTTGCCTGAATAGTTCGTGGCTTGCCTGCTGTCAAGGGATGACCATGCATCTTTGACCACTTTTGTAACTGCAAAAACAGAACAAAAAATCTCTTTGTAGTATGAAAAACAATCTGGTGCTGCATATTGTTATGATGGGAGAAAAACATAGTTTTAATATGCTTCTTAACTTTGTCCTCACACTGCTCTAATGTTACACGTTTCTCATCCTCTTTCCTGTTGTCTAAAAGTGAGAAAAGAATAATATTTATAATTTTCACTTTTTATAATGACAGCCTGTTTAGTTTGATTTACCCATTTTATTTTAAAGTCTCTTAACATTACAGTAAGGTTGGTTTTGCTTTTCTGTATGGTCCTCTTAAATTTGCAGGGAAATGGAAAGGCTTCAGGCTGGAAGAGAGTCAATTGGATACTGGTTATAGTTCGGACAGGAAGTCTCTGTAGACTTCTGTTGTTTGTCAAGAAAAACCAATTCTCTTGAGAATGCAGATGGGAATGCTTGAGAAGCCTCTGCAGTCTTAGTTTTATATACAGCCCTGCTGAGTGTGTCTCTGTCAGTCCAGACCTCCAGCCAAGCTGTCCTCTCTTATCTCCTCTTCCTGTCAACAAACAAAAAGGTGAAAGGACCAACTTAAATGAATAATAGTTAGACATACATTGAGATAGATCAGAAAACGCTAGTGATAGAGAAGTATGCATTCTTTCTCTACTGAAAGTTGAGGTGATACCTCCTAGAACAGTAAACAAAGATCAGTATGGAAATGTTGTGGAAGAAATTGCCTTAATGATAGCCACCTGTGTGCTGAATGAAAAGGAAAGCTAGAGTCTTTGAAGTGAAATGTATCTGCTATTTTTAATTGACTATTTTTAAAGTTTTCATTACTAGGCTTTGCAAGCTATCACTTAAGTCTTGCTGTTTATTAGAAAGCACACACTTGGGAACACTGTAGGCTTTATATATTGGCTACTTCTGTGCTTCCTCACCAGAACAAGCTGCTCAAGGTGGCTCTTTGATAGTCTCTTTTGATGGTCCTTACATGCATCAAAAACTATTCTCCACAAACAGTGATGTGACCCTTTAGTAGTTTGGCTGAAGTGCCAGTTTTATTGTATTTATTGTATTTTATATCTTGTATTCGCTGTTTTAAATTGTATGTTGTTTTAAACTGTTGTAAGCCGCCCTGAACCGCCTCGGCAGGAGGGCAAGGGGAAGATATCCAATAAATAGATAAATAAATAAATATAAATAAATAAGTTGATTTAAAGACTAAAAGAACTTCAGTGCAACTGGCAAACAAAAGTAATGTTTTGAGACCAACCAAAATCCTACAGAAATGATGTGCTAGCTTTTGAGTTATCCCAGAACTCTTGGTCAGTCTGGTTATCACACTACCTACAGTTGTTATGTAACTGGTATGATCCACTAGTTGTGGTGATATATTCACCACTTAAAGAAGGGTACTTGCACAAGGTACATTTATCACACTTGCTAGCAAAGGAACAACACTATGGTCAATAT